GGCTGCATACATCCAGAAAGCGACACGAAGCGCAGAGCACTTCGTGAAATTCCACCGCGCCGACACTTGGACGACGGTGCATAAACGAAAGGTATGGCGCATGGCTCCCGCAGTCGCAAACCACGACCGCACACGGTGGACATGGCAATGGCAACCAGACCCCAGTCCGCGCCAGCAGGGACACAGGCAACACGGTCACAAAAGCAAGCGTTGTGCCAATGCAGACCAGACTTCCACCGACCGACCGCACACACACACAGATTCGAAAGATGATCCAAACGACGTCATATGGTTGCGAACCGCCCAGGACACCGAAACATGGACAGCACTCGGGCATCAGTACACCGAGGCCGCACCAACAAGCACATCGAGCCCACACCAATAACACGAACTCCTACTTCCCGTACCAACGCCGACACCGAGGATTTCTTCTTCCTCCCTCCTCCATCCTCCCCCACACCGACACGAGCATACCGTGCAGCACGCCGGCATCGACCCGAGGGAATGTTTCTCCCCCCCGTTCCCCTTTAGCATATCATATCATACATGTGTTTCGCATTGCATGTTATCCACACGCATCAGACTTCTGAGGCCTTGCCCACCTGGTCTTCGCTAGGCCTGGACGATATCCGCAGCAACCCCTGTTAGTGCAGTTCCCGAGTTTTTCAACAGTTGTTGCTCGGAAGCGTCGTGTTTTTGGCCGTGTTGCAGGTTTGGTTCTTGCCCCTCGGATCTCGAGCAGCAAGTTGAGTTGAATTAGAAGCCCAGCTGTAAGAAACTTATAAATGCACAGCACGTCCGGATTCAACATGGCTACACGCCATAGTAGATTTGTCAGAAATGGTACAAGCGACACACTCCATTTGATGAGCGAGGTCTATGGCAGCCGGGACAAGATTGCGAATTTATTATTTTGCATGTGTTTGGGATTGGGTGATATTGTTAACACTTCGCTTGACCATGGTAGGCATAACTTGCACATGCGTAGTTGTTTAAGCACATAACATGCTTGATCCAATGCGTACATTGCACATAACTTGCCAAGCTACTCTTAGCTGGACCCATGCTATCATACACGAATGCTCCCACCCACAACATCCGAGGGGCTTCATGGAAGAGGTCGCCGAGGTAGAGGATGGGGATGGGGGTAGTTCATCATGGTAGCCAGGCCAATCAGCCTTTGTGGTTCAACGGAATCAAAAAGCTTGGGACCCCAGCGAGGTTCGACCGAGCAGAGTCCTTGAGACTTGGTAAGTTCGTGTCCAAGCTCGCGTAGCAAGGCGGCCCGGAGAGCGCTGCATCCTCAGGGATATCGTTGGATATCCGCAGGGGGTTCGCCCCCTGCCCCCTGCCCCCTCTCTCGGAGAATGAGGCATGCAAGAGCTATGTTGTGAGGCTTGGGCGCCGTCGTGAAGCAGGGCCTGAACTTTGAAGGGGGGACACTGGAAGGGAGCGCGCTAAAATCCATCAACGACTTAAGACACATCGTAGATGTTGGCCTGTTGGGCCTCTGTTGGTGGTGCTCTTGGAGCGCTCTTGGGGGTTTCTTTGGGGCCTCTTGGGCCGGGGCCATCGTGGGTGCCTTGGAGCTTGGGCCGTCTCGGAGGTTTTTTGCGCCGTTTTGGATGGTTTTGATGACGAGTTGCGGCTTCGAAAGCGTAAGCTTTGCGTATTTTGCAAGGGTTCATGATTTCGGGGGCGCGAAGAACGTGCGCTTTACACGGGGCCATTTCTTCGGGGACGCAGCCGGTGTTTTTTTACGCAGAGAGAGAGAGAGAGAGAGAGAGAGAGAACACAACAAATAACAGTGCTGCCTCGGAGACGGAGACTGCCCGGGAGCGCGGACATAGCGTAATATGCGAGGGTTTATGGTCTCGGGGACACGATATTTGTGCAATGCACACGGGATTATGGCCTAGCGGGGCGAACACAGCGAATATTTTAAAGGATTCTGGCTTCGGGGGCGCGAATCCCATTATTTGTATTGGCCCCAGGAGTCCCCAGGAAATTCTGGGAGCCCCTCCATCTGCTGGTGACCAGGGCCCTCTTCGGCTCCCTCCCTCCTGCGGAGTTGAAAATTTATCTTCAGTCGGAAGCAGAAGGTGCGACTCAAATATGGGAGATTTGAAACTGGAGTTGCAGCAGGGAGCAACAAGCCCACCCCGCGGAGCCGCGTGGCCCCACAAAGAGGCCGGCGGATCTCACGGGCCAATTTACAGTAGGGAGCAGCAAGTAGGACTAGAGCATGGGAGACTTGAACTTGGAATTGGAGCATGGGGAAGCAAGCCTAACCCGAGGAGTTCTGTGCCCCCAGATTCGGACCGGCGGATCTCACGGGCGCAACTAGGAAGGTTATGTTTCTTTCTGGTTTTACAGTAGACCCTATAAGTCGCAGGGCACTTGCAGACGGGTAGATCACATTCAATATTTTTGGGAAGCAGCGCAATCACATTCAAGAGAAATTGGGAAGGCCACATCAGCTGTTGGTCGCATTTACTGAGGAGATGAATGACCTCAAATCAACATACCTCGGGAGATCCACCAGGGACCTCGGAGCCCAATGGTCGACCCCAACGGAGATCGTTGCAGAAAAAACACCGAGCAGTACGTTGGATATCCGTCGCTTCCAGCGGATCCAAGTATTGGGTATCCTGCAACGCAAGAAGGCGAGCGAGTCCAACGCGCCAGGCAAGGTAGGTCTAGCCTGAACTGGGCCAGCCCAAACACTTCTTGAAAAACTCGTGGTTTTCAATCATGTCAGAGGGCAGTTGTCATATGCCATCCGGATTCGCCAAAACTTCAGGGTGTGTGCCCTAAATCTTATGTGAACGAGGAGAAGGAGGAGGAGGAGGAAGAGGAGGAGGAGGCGGAGGAGGAGGAGGAGGAGGAAGAGGAGGAGGAGGGTTAGGAGGGAAGGAGGAGAACGAAGAGGAGGAGAAGCAGGGGGCAAACCCCAGACCTCGTTCCACTTAGAGCCGCAAGGCTCGTTCCAAAGAGAAGCCCACAGCCTCGTTCTATGGGATGGCCGTCGGGGGCCACGACCTCCAGGGGTCGTTCCACAGGGAGCCGCAGTGCTCATTCCACAAATGGGCCGCAGGGTCCGTTCCACAGAGATCGTTCCACTGGGCCGCCGCTGCGGCTCCTGAGCTTCAGGGCCTGTCCATTGGGCCCCTAGGGCCCTAGGGAGCCGCAGGGCTCGTTCCGATGGGCCGCCGTCGTGGTCCCCCGGCTCCCCCAGAGGGCCGCAGAGCTCGTTCCACTGGATCGCCGTCGGAGCCCCCCGACCCCCAAGGCTCGTTCCACTGGGCCGCTGTCGCAGCCCCCCCCCCGGCCCCAAAAGGGCCGCAAGGCTCGTTCCACTGCGCCGTCGGGCCCCCCTGGATCACACAGGGCCGCAGGGCTCGTTCCACTGGGCCGCCGTCGGAGCCTCCGACGCCCACGGCTCGTTCCACAGAGGACCGCAGGGCTGTTTCCACGCAGGTCCCCCCAACCTCGTTCCTCTGGGCCGTCGTCGAGGCCCGCGACCCCAGAACTCCTGCACGCAAGCCCAAGGCTCATTCCACAAACGCGTCGGGGCCCTCTCCACAGGGCCCTTCGCAGATGCGAAACCGACCGGCGCGCCCGGGCCGATACGCCGATATGCCGATCTAGCGAATCGGCGCTGTTGAGCCGAGAAAGCGTTCCAGGAATTCGGCCCGAGCAATCGGATACGCCGATAGGCCGATTTGTGGTTTCGGTTCCCCCGGGTCGATGTACCGATACACCGATCCAGTAACTCGGCTGGCCAAGCCGATATGCCGATGTGCCGAAGCTACGGGGCGCCCGCAGTGATAGCCATATCGGCATGTCGGCATATCAGTTCCACGGGGTCGGTATATGAGATCGGTGTAACGGCGAATCGTGTTCCTCAAGCCAGTATCCGATGCTGGTTTATTGGCATATCGGCTCGCCCAAACCAGCGGGACGTAGACCGGTGTATCGGTATATCGGCTCAGCAGCAAGCGGTTCCAGGTTGCGGTCGCCTTCGATTTTTGGAAAACAAGCGGCGTTTCACCGAATACCTTTCGAGGCCACTCGACCGCTCGGGACTCAAACATGGCCTCGGTCGCTTTGGGCTACAACAGGTAGGCATCAGCAATATCAGCCGGAAGATGTTCACTAGCATGCGGCAGAAAGGCATGCGAACGAAATTGCGGCACCGCGCTAGGCACATTCTCAGGAGTTTGCTGCAGTAAAACATTGCGTTGCAGATCAGGGAAATGACACCCAAAAAGAGAATTGGGAAAAGAACATGGGACAAACAACGTTGCACAATTCTTGCTGTCTCAAGAAGACACTGGGAGGGGATCCCAGGATCTTCCGGACAGTGTCAGGGGAGAGCGGATAGTAGTATTCATATTCTGTTGGAGGGGAGGAAGGAAGGTTCCCCCCTTCGTTTCTTCTGTCGCTGTTGCGGTGGATGGCGCGCCGTTGATGGGGCGAGTTTCAGCGAAGCGTGGCCTCAAATGCGACAGAAGCCTCACATTCTGGCCTCCATGGGGCATCTCACACACACACACACACATCTTCTCCCCACCCCCTTCCCCCCGAGGCGCGCCTGCCCCTGAGCATTTTCTGGGCTGGGCGGTTCCCTGGTGGAGCGCGCCCCCTCCCCCCCCCGCCGGATGGGGTGCTCCGTGGGGGAAGGACCGCCCCGACCCCGATAATTGGCGTTGACTACGCGGCTCTGGGCGTTTACATTGAACGGCCCTGCCCTGTTCGATTCCATCCCCGGGTGCATTTACGCAACGGCTTCGCGTGTCGGGGTGCGTCTTAGGAGGGTTGATGTTTCTGCTCTCTGGATCGTGCAGCAGCATCAATAGGGAGCCGCATACGAACCCTACCCCTACCCCCCACGATTTCTGAGGGAGAGGGTGGGGTTCACGTCGTTCGGGAGCTCACAAGCGAAGTGAACCCCACCCTCCCCGTCAGAAATCGTGGGGGGCAGGGGTAGGGTTCGCATGCGGCCCCCTAATCAATCACACCAAGGTGGGGAGCTGTCCGCCAACGACCATCCGCCCGACGGCGAGCTCGGCGACCAGGCGGCCGCGGCGGCTCAGGCGCGGCCGCTCCTCGCTCGCTCCCCTCCCCGGGCGGCCTTTCAGGAGGGAAGAAAACACACAGACACAGTTAATCGTCGATTCCCCAGAAAATATGGGAAAATATGGGAAGTGGGGGGGAAGACAAACACCCAGAACATATGGGAAAATATGGGGAATCTTGTTATGTGTGTGTGTATTTATTTGTGTGTCCCAGGGCCCCTTTAGCCTTGGCCCTTGCGCGCCCTTCTGGGATGCCCGCGGCTGCCAGTCAGAGGGGAAGTACAGACAGACAAAAGTAATCGAGTGGCCTTCGGCCCATGCCGCTGCCGTGCCTGGAGTGGTGGCATGAGGCCTACTAGATGTTCGTTGGGATCTCGTGGGAGGCCTCTCGGGAGCCTCGAAGGCAGTTTGGGGCCTCTTGGTGGCCTCTTGGGGCGCTTCGGGGCCTCTTGGGGTCCCCTTGGGGTCTCTTGGTGGCCTCTTGGGGCCTCCTGGGCGCCTCTTGGTGCCACCTGCGGGCGTCTTGGGGCGGAAGGCTTGGATTTTCGGTTCTGGGTCCCTCTCTTGGGCCCCTTTTGGGGCCGTGTGTTGGGCCTTCCTGGGCAGCTGGGCCCCTGCAGGAGTGCTCCCCCAAGGGGCCGGCCAGCACCTGCCGCTCCCTGGGCCTAGGCCCGACGCAAGTTTCGCGGGAGGCACCCCGGAAGGCCGGGATATTTCATGGGGCGGAAACGTTGCCGATGCCGTTGCCCTTCCCTGGGCTTCGTTCTTTTGGGCCGCCTGTGGGGGCCTCCGAACCACGGCTGCCCTGGAGAGGTCTGGGGAGGCAGCACGCCGATTCTCGCAGGGTGGGGAGAAAGAAGGAGAAGGGAACGGATCAGACTGCCCGCGTGCCAAAGGGGGGAATCGCACAACACTCAATCGATTAAACTTAGATTTCGACAGCGTGATAAGGCAGATCCGGAAAAGCTCCAGCTCCCTTCAAGACATTTTTCTGGAGGCGAGGGGTCGTGCATCGATATAGGGCGAGAAGTTCTGGCGGAGAAGGGGGGGGGAAGGTGGAGAAGGGGGAGGGAGCGAAAGATTCTCGATGCCTCCCTTGAGTGCGCCTCGCCGCGGACTGAAGGACCTCAGTGTGGAGGTCGCCTTGGGGGCGTCAGAGCCTATACCTGCCTCTGCGAACTAGCCGTAAACAATCCAAGGCTCACGCCTCAAACCGATTCTTTTGGCGCGTTTGCTTGGGTGGAAAATCGGGTGCCACTCAGGATCGTCAGACATGGCAGTGTCCTTTGCCAAGCGTTGCAGCGATCGTTGGAAAGATGTTTCAGAGCTGTCACGCACCACTACAACAGGCAAACGATTGAAGACTGAAATCAACCAATAGATAGACGGATGGAGCAATCGAGAATTGCCAGGTGGGAGGGGTTCATGCAGTGCCATCAGAAGCCCGTTGAGTACCTCGCGGGTTGGCAGTTGGCTTTTGAAAGGCTCACGTAGGAGCCACATGATACCCCATGTGCCCCCATTTGTCCGCCTAGCGTTCACTCGGTTGAATGTTGCAGGGACGTCAGATCAACCAAGTGCAGCGTGCCATCTAGACCAGATCCATTGGAAGACATTGAATGCGCAAGCGTCTCTGTAACCTTCTGTCCATGTGGTGTGCAATCGTGTTGTCAATGTAGGAGCCAAACATTTCGAAGAAGGACAACTTCCTTCCAGCTTGAGCGCGCAAGGCCTGGCTCCAGAGCAAACTTGTCCGCCCCCTTCTCCTGTGAACCTCCCATTGTGCAAAGTCTGCCGTAAACAAGAACTATGAAAAGAGCGCCCAGCTATTCGCAGGTGGAGTACCCCTGGCCACGCTTCTCTTATTCGGACCCAAAGGCGGGCCGACAAAGAAAAGACGAAGCAAGCAAGGAAAAAGAAGGAGCGGGGAAGCGAGGAGCGAGAAGTGGCGGATTGGAAGAGCATGGGGAGGACAGCAGGGAAGAACAGACCAGGTCGACGGACAGAGGGACGGGGGTGGGGACGGAGAACGCAGATCTGCCGACGTGCAGGCCAGCCTGCGCTCCCTGAAGGACTTGCAGGCCGCCGAGGTGAGGAGCGCGCTGAGCTCGCTGCGGGACCTCCTCGTGCCGGATGGGCCACCCGCGCCTCCCGTGAGAGGAGGCACCACTGGCCCGGCCGACGCGGAGGTCTGGCCGTGGGCCGCAGACTCCTTTGTGGCAGCTCCTCCCGCTCCTCCGTTCGCCGAGCCGGACATGGCCGATTCCCGATGCGCGTCCTCCAGCCGCGCGCGCAGACTGCTCGTTGAGGGGGCGCTTGCAGAGCAGATGCTGGCTGACGAGATACTCTCGATGAGTGTGCTCACGGGGCAGGCGCGCACCGAAGACCGCACAGGACCGTGTTTTTTGTTGGCGGGGGGGAGCCGGGGCAGGAGAGGCCAGGCGCGGGGAGGGCGAGCGGAGCAGAGGGAGAGGCCGGGCCTCGGCGCCCCATCGGTGGACGCTCCTCGCACACCTGCACCGATCCCGGCCAGGCCAGCCTTGGGCCCAGGGCTGGTGCAGACGCCCTCCTGGCCAAGCGAGAGAGCGTGCAGGGTGCTTTGGCCCTGGGCCCACGATGGTCGGGTCGGGCGAAGGGGGGGGATTGGGAAAGGGGGGGTTACGAAATTTGCTGCATGCAGCTGGTTTCGGCCTCACCCAGGGGCCCATTCCTCGATACGTTGCCGCCTCCGGCGCCGGGAGGCGCGGGGAAAAAATCAGCTACGTGAGCTGATTCTCAACCCCCCCCTTTGCTATCCCCCCCCTTTCGCCCGACCCGAGATGGGCCTGGCCAGGAGGGGTGCAGCAGACGTGCAGCAGGCGTGCTCCTGCCCAGGGGGCGGGTGGGGGGGGGGGGGGCCCGGCCTCCCGCGGGGGCGCGGGGCAGAGCCTCTCGCAGGGCCTCGCCCGCGACGCGGCCGCGGCGGCGCTGCCGCCGCCCCTGGCGGACGCGCGGCGAAGGTCCCCAGCCGCAGCGGCAGCCTCGCGGCCGGTCGCCGCCACTGCGCCGGAAGGCCCGTTCCCCGCCATCTTGCTGGCGCCTGCAGGACCACTATCCTCCTCCACCTCCTCCTCCTCCTCCTTCTCCTCCTCCTCCTCCTCCCCCTCCCCCTCCCCCTCCTCCTGCTCCTCCTCCTCTTCCTCCTCCTCCTCCTCCTCCTCCTCCTCCTCCTCCTCCTGGCCAGGGCAATCCTGGGCCACAGGATGGTGTATCGACCCCCCTGGCCTCGGCCAGGAGGGGCAGTGCACCGCACATGCCAGGACCCAGTACGGCCCTGGCCGGGCGTTGTGGTGTATAGATGCCTTGTGCGTGGTGGCTGAGGAGGAGCGAGTGGACACAACCGCTCCCTCCCCAGCTTTTGTTGCTCGAGCTGCCGTTCAAACATTTAGCGCGAATTGGAGCGGGTGGGGACGAAAGGGGCCCCTCCCTTTCCCCCATCCCCCTCTCTTGCGTCTCCTCCTCCCCCTGGCCCCCCCCCCCTGCGTTTCGAAGTTGCCTACAGCGAATATCCAGCGCACTTTGCTTGCATGGAACGATGTAAGACGAATTCGACGATCGATGAATTGTGATTCCCCGAAGTGTTGTCAGCATGACTGGGGGGGCGCATGGTGTCGGCTCTTTGGGTGCCCTTTCTGTGCCGTGTTGGGGTCCTTTTTGCAAATATCGGGAGCCTCGAGGGGCCGCCTTGCTTGGAACTGTTTCAGACCGGAAAGGGAATACATTAACCCGTTTGCCAAAACAGTCCCAACAATAGAGTTATCGCACAGTGCATGTGTTATGTATGGGATGCAAATGACGCGATGCAAGCTATGTGGTGCAAGGTGTGTGGTTCAATACATCTGGTGCAATCTATGTGATGCAACCTGTGCGGCACATTCGACGCAACCCAATATGTGTCGCGCAAGCTGTAGGGTGCAATCGGTGTGGTGCAGGGTTTTTTTTTCCAACTCATGAGTTGTCCACTCCACTGCTCGCGCAATGTTCTCACCCTCCCACCCGCAACTTGCTTCGCAAAATCCATGTGGACGCGATTGCGGTCACTGCGTGGCCCTGGTTTGCGCACCTCTGCGGTTGGGTTGCCGCATGGCAGCTCGCGCGCAGAGCGGCGGGCTAGTTTTTGCACAGTTGATGCGGCCGCGATGGAGCTTGCCGATGACAACTTCCGAGCGCGTCTCAGAGGCGGCGCTGCCACGCGGGCATTTCAGGTTGGGTGGGTGACTCGGGTGGGCGCGTTATATCATGATGGCGCTGGCAACGGCAACAACATGATAATGCTAGCGATGGTGGTGGCGATGACGGTGACGGCAGCAATGCCAATGACGGTGCCGATGTTCGTGACGACGATGACGATATTAATGTCCATGTGCCGTTGGCGAAGGTGATTGATTGATGTTGGCGGCAACGCCGGCGATTGGCGACGACGATAACAGTGGCGATGCGATGGCGATGGTGCGGGTGATGATGAAGAAGTGCACGCGCGCCGACAACCAAGAATTCAGGCAGGCCTGTTGGACAAATGCGGTTTTCACCAGTTGCCAAAACGATATATTCTTCACGCTCCGCGTATCCCCACCAGCACAGGGGAGCACTGGAGCGGACGCAGGCAAGCAGGAGAGTCACGGGTGGCCCAACCCCCAGGAGTTCATCTCACCAGGCAATCTCCGGACCTTTACAGGCGGGACGGAGCACGACCGCGTGCACAGCTGCAAGATCAGCAGGTTCCAATGGGAAGGCTGGAATTCGCCAGCGCCAGAGAAGGTAAACGGTCAGCCGTACCTCCCAGGTTGGACTTTCCCAGACGACTGGGACTACGTGCCCTTCAACTTTCCGTACAGGGGCGACACTCACGACTACTTCGCCCCCACCTGCACCACCCACTCCAATGAGCTACGCCCACCCACGCAGCTGAGGTGGGCCTGGGGGAGGGCGTCGAAGGGGGGACCCAGCGTCTGGGGCACTCCTGGCCTACCTTCCGCGCCGTACCTCGAGTCCACGGCCCGGCGCGAAGGGGACAGCAGACCCAACGCCTCCAGCAGGGCCTCTCTCAGGAGTCTGCGGACAGGTCCCGACTCGAGGCAGAAGAGAGCATGGAGCAACGCAGTCAGTACGGCGCACCCCAGCAGAAATAAGGAGGGTAGCGCTTGAGTCGGCTGCCGTTGCTGCCGCCGATGCCGTCAAGCAAGTATACGCCGTTCCCACCTGCACCACAGCCGCGCAGTTCCGTTTGCATACCTCCCTGGGAGCGATCGAAGAGGGCGTGAAGCTCCCAAAGCACTGGGAGCAGGATCTTAGGCGAAGGGGACGCAACCTCGAAAGGCTGGCCTGGACCGAATGCATGGCAGCCGCAGAGGCCGTGTGGGACAGCTCTACTAAGGCCAGAACAGACCTGGAGAGAAGGCAAAGCTGCGCACGAGGAGTGTCAGTCACACCCATCCACGAGGACTCAGAATGCGACATCCTCGATCATTTCAAGCTGAGGAACGCGTTCCCCACCCAGGTTGGGAAAGTGCTGCTTCACCTGCAATGGCCCCGGATGTTCAGGACCCTCCTTAGAGGCCAGGACGCGGGGCAAGATGCCCGCATGCTACTCCTCAGCATCACCAATTCAGCAGCGGACCAAGTGGCGGCAGTCAAGCTCCTCTGGCCGCCAGACCTCGGAGGCGCGGTACCCACCAAGGACTGCCAGGCACTTGGGCTCAGACAGGGATCGAGATTCCCCAGCAACGAGTGCATTGTCGCATACGACGCCGAAAAATATGGTGAGTTCCACAGAGATGGCAGGATCCCGAAGCCCACCTACGTTGGAGAATCGTGGTACATATTGGACAGGGCTCCCTCCCTGCTGCAGTATCGGAGGATTGCCACCGCGATCACCGAGATCAACGAGCTTCAGCAGGCTCCACGCGACCTAGTCGGGACCCCCCTGGACGTCATCACCTACCTTCTCACCTTCAGCACAGCTGACAAGAAGGACAAGGTGCTGGCCAACAGCGTAAGCAACACATTGCGGCGCGGACAAACCCTACTGGCTCGCGCCACGGCCACCTTTGAGGCGCGCTTCCCCAGCGCCGGCCGCCCCCCCCACGGCGCCTTCGGCCGCCGTCCCATTCCCAGGCCCAGAGGTGGACAAGGTCATCGGGCAGGTCTTCCAGCGCGTCAGGGGCCCACCGCAGCACGCGGCCCTCGAAGAAGGAGCCAGGCGCCACAGCCTCAACCGTGACGCTACCAAGGCCCTCACCGCCTCCACTTTACACCGCGTAACAATCGTGCACGGGCCCCCCGGCCCAGGCAAAACAATTTTCTCTGGCGCCACTATGGACACGTGGGCCAACGCCCTCCCAGATGGACTGGCAGTCGCGCTGGCCGCAGGCTCCAACGCGGCCGCCGACCAGCCCGCGCTCGGGTTAATCAGCGCACAACAAGTAAACAAGTTGGGCCCCCGCGCCGGGTTCCCGACCAAGCGCGTCCGCTTGGCCAAAGAGTTCAAGGTGGCCAAGGCGCTCGCAGCGCTCACCCCCGGAGGACACTACTACAGAGGCACGGGCTTCTACCCATGCGAAAGTGGATTCGCCAAAGACCCCCCCGCATTTCGGACGCAGACGCTCAAGGACGCCAAGACAATCATCGCCGCACACGATTCCGCGGAAGCGCTAGAGAAGGCCGCCCCAGTCGCCCTACTCATCATGGACGAGGCCAGGCAAGCGCACGATCTGATGGTCGCCATGTCCCTGGAAAGCGTCATCCGCTCCGGTGGTCACCCTGTGTTGGTTGGCGACCCCAAGCAGCTCCTCCCTGCAGTCATCTCCAGGAAATCGGCCGACCAAGGGTTATGCCTCTCAGACCGCCTCCACCATGCCCTGGGGGGCGACGAGTCCTCCGTGGTACAGCTCAGCCTATGCTACCGGATGCACCCCCTACTGCTGGCGTGGCCGAATTGTGCATTATACGACAACGCAATGCACGCCGGCCTAACAGACCCCCTGACACAGCGACCCTTGATCAAGGGACTCCCATGGCGGGACCTCCCCCCCTGGGACGACACCAGAGCCGTTGACCCAGCAGAGGCAGCGGGCACCACCGAGGCAGACATGGAGCGCATGTTGCGAGGCCTGGATCCAGGAAACCAGCGCAAGGAAGAAAAGGCACCGCTTCCTACTGGTGGACAACCCTTCCCTGGAGGTCACATCGAGGCTGCGCGCAGGATACGCCAATCTACCGTAGGCAGCGCAGACCGTAGACTTAGTACGTGCCCTCCTGCCCGCCATGCGGAACGGCTCCACGGTGCGGGCGGTCGTCGGCGACCAGCTGCAGTGCGCCATCCTAGAAAACGGATGGCCGCAGAGCGCGCGAGGAATCAGCGGCGCCCTCAGGCGAGCCAAGACCATGGGCAAGTGAAAAAGGAAAGACGGGGCAGCCCCAGGCAACGAGCCCACGACCCCCCCCCCCAGACCGCCCCCCCAACACCAACGACCACGCCAGCGTATTCGTGCAGCGCAGCTCAGAGCTCACAGACATCTCCTCGACGTTCCCCGGGCTGCGGAGCCTCGCCGAGGAGACCCTGGCCAGCGGCAAGCTCACCATCTCAACCATTGGCTCCAGCCAAGGTGGCGAGGCCGACCTGGTCATCTTCCTGACAACCATGTCCAACAAGTGGCCGAGGCCAAGCGGCAGGCTGCCCGCGGCGGCAGCCCTGCCAGGGGCGCCCACTGACCTCGCCCGTCCGCGGGCGAGAGGCCCTCCCGCGGCGCGGGCCCCGGCGCCGCGGGGGGGGCCCCTTTCCTTAGAGGGGGGAGGCAGTCCAGGGGCGACCAGCCACTTCCCAACGGAGGCGGAGTGCAAGGCCAACATGGCTCAACGCCCGTTGGAGAGGCCGAGGCAGATCATCCAGCCCGACGCCATCAAGGGTTCCGACCTCGCCGTGCTTGGAGAGTTGCTCCGCGCGCACCTCCCTGCCAAGCTGCCGAGGGTCGGCAGCAGCTCTGCGGCGGCGCCAAACGGGGGCTTCAGCGGCAA